CTTTTTGTAACGCCCCCGATCATCGGGTAACGTCCTTTGACCGAAAACGCTACATACTGACCCGAGGATGGCCGATCCTAAGTTCCAGAAATGGATCAAGGGACTCGGGACAACCTGTCCGTGGATCAGTTTACCCGTACTGATCAGAACCAGAGTTTTGCAACCCGGAACCGACTAACACGGTTGGTTCGATCCGGACAAGCTCAGCGCAGCACTGTCACTTGCGAATGTTTGGAAAACATACGTTCATACTTAGCATATATTACATACGGAAAAACCTTGGCAAACTATATACGTCGGATCCGAGGTTTAAAACCGTACATAATACATACTAAGGAATTTGCAAGATCAACAGAAAAACCTACTCTAGCTTCCCTAATTCCAATGTGGCCCGCTACAAGCTTTTCCCCTAAGGTTACCTGCAGGACAAAATGTGATGGGATGAACAATTAGAAAATTACTCAGTGAGCAGAGCCTGAAAATAACCCACCCAATCCCCAAGTAACCAAACAAACAACAAGTAAACAGATTATGAAGTAAACAGGGAAACAATGCAACATGATGCAAGTTCTAAGTTAACCAACCGAACCTTCATTCCTATATGAAACCATCCTATGGGCCATGTGCCGATCCCTCCACTCACATCTCCGGTACTGGAATGTAAGACACGAAGTCTTCCAACATCCCGAGTTCTGCGGAACACCCACATGAACTCAATACACCATCGTGTATCATGGCCTATAGGTGCGACCCACATACCGCCATGGCGCAATATTATGCCGCACTGCGTAATGCTATGACTTCATCGGACAACACGGGACCATTACACCATGCCTCACTTGCATGATGCRCACACAACTTAGCAACACTAGGCTACATGCAACATGATCACTCTACATGACGCACAACCGATARCCTAACTCACSCGAATCAACATCATTCCACGAAACTACTAGCAAGCAAGAAACCCATTTGCTATGACTAGTAACAACAATTCAAGAACAAGGCTAACCATGCACGCACAAGCAATCAATCAACACGACATAATCCCAAACAAGCATGACTAAATTATCATATYCRATCAAGCTCAACCGATCATGYATGCAAACAACCGAACAAGCAGTGAGGATCTAGCATTATAACGACATGCAACATGYAACAAGCAACCCACGGTGATTCTACTCATCAATCACCGAGACCCTACTCACCACTGCGTAAGAGGTGACTCGGAAGCTTAGGTTATTACGACAAGATCTTTCTTGATCTAGGTTTACTTGGACTTAGAACTCTCGGGTGTCTCGGTCACTTATTTCTACTGATTTCGGGCAAGGGTAGGTTCGGGTCGAATGTTGGGTGAGAAAAATTGCTCATAGACGGCTCCTTTTATAGGGGACGAACGGGTCATGACGTGTCGCAGTGATCGCTCCGTCGCGGACACCTGCTGCCCTCGCCACTGACATTTGTCGCTGGATGGGACGCGTGTCATCGCCTCCAAATGCAAGGACGACGACGGGTGTCAATGTGACCCGAGCTCGGCGTGGCTCCTTCCCGTCCACGGATTTTACCAACTATCCGCGGAGTGGACGTGGCTCACTCTCAGCCACAAACTAGTCCAGTGGACGTGGCTCACTCTCAGCCACAAACTGACTAGATCGCATCCTAGCTTGGTTCGATTATGGGCAAATGTTCCCGTCCGGTGCTTCGGGTCTTTAGTCCCGCGGTAAGTGTTCCTTTGCTCTGTAGCACTACCTGTGGCACTTTCCGCGATACGGATTACTGGCCTCATGATCACCCGCGGTACCTAGTTCGTGGTTTGGGTCCGTTTCCTTAGCCGAAATGATTCTTCTTCACCTGTTCCTTACTTTATTCCTTTCGGAATACTCCTTTCTATGTCTTATGTGTCCGTTCCACTATGCTTGGCCTTCGGTCGCGACATTTACCCAAGCAGCCGATCATAACCTTAGTGAGGGTTATAACAGTTCCTCTCTA